AAAAAAAAAACATAACGAAAATGTACAAAAAACCACGGACACGGACATGAACACGAACACGGACACGGACATCAACACGAACACGGACATGAACACGGACACGGACGCGGACATGAACACGAACACGAAAACCAAAAAATACCAAAAAATACCCGAAAAAATTCTCAAAAATTCTCAAAAATTCTCATAAACAAAATCTCACAAACACAACCTCCCCCCAAAACCAAACTCCACATCACCACATCACCACATCACCACATCACCACATCACCACATCCGAAACCCCCAAAAAAACCAAACACCACCCCCCCTCCCCTCCGCCTTTACTCAACACATGCACGTCGCTCACCCAGTCCACTGGCCGCTCTACACGCACCTCCTGCGCGCCCTCGTCGAGCTCCTCAACCACGCCGTGCATCTCGTGCGCGCGCTTGTGCGGCACAGCCAGGTCGCGGGGGAGATGGGGGCGGGGGGTGTGGCGGAGACGGGAGAAAGGGGTGTTGGGATCGGAGAAATGGGTGTTGCGGAGATGGGAGAAAGGGGTGTTGGGATGGGAGAAAGGAGTGTTGGGGAGAAAGGGGTACTGGAGGTTCTGGAGGTTATGGAGTTGGGGGAGTTTCCGGAATTTTGGGGTACGCGGGAAGAGGAGAGAGAGATGGATGGGGATGGGGATGGGGAGAGGGAGAGGGAGAGGGAGATGGAGATGGGTGCTGTGTACGAGCTGAGCATCGAGTGGCTGGTGCGGGTGTATCGCTCGATCCGGGACGCACACGGCCGAGACGCACCGACCAACCTCCACATCGACATCGACATCGACACCGACATCGACATCGACATCAACAAAGACATCGACAAAGACAAAGACAAAGATAAAGACATCCCCGCAGCCCTCGAGCCAGCGCAAGCCATGCACCCCCTAGCACGAGGCCTGCACTCCCTGGCCCGAGACCTGCAGACGCACTCCCGGATGGGGAGGCTCTTCCCCGCGCGGACGTTCGCGGAGCAGCTGTGGGCGCTCGTGGTGTTTGCTTCCGGGGTGGGTGTGGCGCGGGGCGGTGTGGGGGCGTCGGGGGGTGCGATGACGGCGTTTGGTGTGTTTGGTGCGACGGCGGCGTTTGGTGCGTCTGTGCCTTTGTCGTTGTCGTCACCCTCACCACCACCACCCGCCTCTTCTCCACCAGCCTCTTCTGCACACCCCGCTTCTGCACACCCCGCCCACCCCTCGCCCGCCTTCATAATCCCCACAGCGCACATCCTCTCCGCGCAAGAAACGTTCGCGGCCGCGATCAAGCCTCGGCAGCTCGCGCTGTCTGGGGCGATGAACCGGCTGCAGCGGAGGTCGTTCCGGCGGTTGGATCGATCGGGGAGCGCGAGGGGTGGTGGGTTGAATGGGGGAATCAGTGTGAGTGGGGGGATCAGTGTGAGTGGGGGGATCAGTGTGTATGGGTCAAACGGGAAGAAGACGAGAAGAAGAAGAAGAAGTCTAGATGATGTCGATGGAGTTGATGGAGAGAGTGTTTCGAGGTGAGAAAACACACCACACCTTGTTCAGGCTCTAACTAATACCATCTTTTTTTCTTTTGTTTTTGAACAGTAGTAACAAACGTCTCCGACTATCCAGTGGTTCCGCGAAGCACTCCAACTACCCCTACTCCAACTACTCCAACGACTCTCCCTACTCCACCCCTTCGCACCGCCCCTCCGTCTCCCTCTCCGCCTCGACATCCACCTCCGGCCCGCGATCCCCGTCCCCATCCGTTGTTGATCTCGATGATGATGAGGTCACTGGTGTCGTCGAGGTCACTGGTGTCATGGACGACGATACGGAGGACTACATCGAGGACAACAACAACAACAACGACAACGGAGAGACGCAGAACCAGAACAATTGGAGTGACGATGATGAGGGTGATGATGATGTTGATGTTGACGATGATGCTCCTCCTGGCTCTCGTGCTTCTCTATCTGGATTCCGGGCGATGTCTGTGCTGAGCCTCGGTTCCGGCCAAGGAGATCGTGCGCGTGCGCGTGCGGATGGTGTTCGCGGCGAAAAAGGGAATGAGAATGAAGGCGGGGAAGGTAAAGGTGAAGGTGAAGAAGGAGAGAAGAAGGTAGTAACAGTCGCAATGCTGAGAGCGTTAACCAGGGATCTGAAGGAGCGGTATCGGACTAGCACTTGAACGTCCTTCAGTGCCACCGAGCACTTGCGTGCGAGAGTCACAGCTTGGAGGTAGACGTGGCTGTTAGAATACGCGGAAAAATACAAATAGGGGATGCATCCGGTACAACCTGTTCCGTACCACCTGTTACCACATGAACACATAAATCCATTCATATATACATACAGATACATACAGATACTTGCTCCTTCTCTCTGTTCTCTTGCTCCTTCTCTCCGTTCTCTTTTTCTTTCTCTCTTTTTCTTTTTCTCCGATCCTCCCTGTGGAACTTCATATAATCGTCCCCCCGTGTTTCACCATCCATCCATCCAATACAATGTTTCCTTTGTTGTGTGCCATTCACAGAATTCAGGAATCGCAGAAGGAAGGAATCAATTCAACGAGTTCCCGAACAAAACATGACATATGTAGATCGACTATCCATGGTTTGTTTCCCTTCCCCAATCAAATACTCCTCCTACATCCCAAGCGCATCCCCCCCGGTTGTGCGCACATATAACAAACAAACAGTCTGAAGGAAAAAGGCATACCGAAAAATTTCGAGGAACACTGTGGTGTATGATTCGACCCGGGCTCGAACCGGGGACCTTCTGTGTGCGACTTTCCCGTTTAAGGATAGCGAGTATGTTAGACAGATGCGATAACCAACTACGCCATCGAACCGTGGAAGTCTGAGACGACTCTTCTCCCGGATCATGGGTATAGGAAGATCGACGTGCACATGCGTGACCGTACGCACAAAACGCAGTCAGTCGAGTGATCTATAGATGCTACGTCTAAAGGTTCTGAAGGATATCCTCACACAGTTATCACCGTGTTTCCCTCAAAACCCTCTTCGTCACCCTGGTCAAAGTTTCACATCTCTTCGTTCGTCCTCGGAATCATCTACTTGATTTCTCTCAGCTCTGCATGTGTTCCAGGTTCCTTGGTTTTGGTCTCGGACGACGGAGTTGCTGGTTCTGGTTCTGCAATAGGCTGCTGCAATCCTTCTTCTCACAATTACAATTATCTTCATCCCTTTTTCTCCCTCAGTCGCCGATCGCTTGCATATTTGCTGTCATCGCTTGCATACTACTTGCTGTAATGAAATCCAGTCTGAACATGCGATCTTTATGTTTCGTGATGCTCTGCTCTTCCAAACATCCATATCATTGAGACCTCACTTCGAGACGAGACTTGTCTCCCTTCTCGTCTCGAAAATCAAAATGGTTTGATCCCTCCCGAAGTAGCCTGAAGTCGTACATATAGATCCTAATGGTCCTGGTGATAACCCAGCATCGAGTCCCATCCGGCACCACCTGCCTCCGCCGATCGCTCAAACAGACAGGTTTCTAGATATTCAAGCTTATTCAAGGCATTCGAGGTCAGCATCTACAACTTTCGAGTTGTTCTAAAGAAACCTGTTTCGTGCTCTGGTGAATCCAGGCAATTTGAAGACGTTCAGACATGGACATGGACATTCTGGTAACGTGGCTGTGAAGGTTGGTAAGTCAAGGAACAACTTAACAAGGTTATGGTTATCGCATGTAGTCGCATGTGCATGTGCAAGCAGAGATGTGACTGCCACTCGGACTGGGAGATACCGTATACGTAGGTGTTGTTTGACTGACAGATTTTTCAAACCAGTTTCCGACTCGGGCTTGCTTGATTTCCGACTCGGGCTTGCTTGATCTTCAAGGGTCAAATCACCAGTGAAAGGGATGATGCATCGGCTTTTTTGACTTTTCGACATATGCTTTCAGGGCTGGGAACTTCCTCGATAGAAGGCCATCTTTAGGAAAGTCAGATATCTTTTTCGGATATTCGATGTGTGGGGGTTCGGGGCATCGTGCACCTCCTGCGTATATGGATGATCCTCGCACTGCATGAGGATGTCTTCTTCCCTGAGATGCAACGGTGGGTGTTCCCTGAGATGCAACAGTGGGTGTTCCCCTCGTCCGAGCTGGACTAAATAAAACTTTAGTTACTTTTGGCAATAGTAAAAATACTTATACTTACTGACCCGTATCAGTCCTCGTTGCCGTTGGTTTTCCCAGAGCTCGTCAACAATCATGTTCTGATCGAGTCTGATTATCGCAGATGGATGTGGATGTGGATCACCAACCGTCTGGGAAGCAACACCCTCGCTAGAATTTCAAACACATCGGAATTCATTCCTACTTCTACCTTTTGCACTCGATGTGTGGATTATCTGTGCTGGATAGTGAAACTCGCCATGGCAAACTAATGCCCCTCTGGGACCGGTATATAAACATCGATGGGTGTTTCCCTTCGACTCCTACATACAAAGTACAGTTCCCCGCAAGGTTTGACAAATATGTGGAACAGTCTGAAAGAAAAAAGGAAACGGGGTAATTTGGAAAAAGAATATGATTCGACCCGGGCTCGAACCGGGGACCTTCTGTGTGGGACACTACCATTTGACAGTGGGGAACATGTTAGACAGATGCGATAACCAACTACGCCATCGAACCTTGCGGACGAAACTCATCTTCCAAATCATGATGACAAGGGGCTGATGAAGACGGGATCTCCTGAGTGCAAAGATGGATCACGCACGGTATTACCGCACAAGAACACTGAACTGCAAGAGTGTTTATTGTTGATTATTGTTACTTGAGTGGGGGGACTTGATGAGCTAGCTCCCAGAGAAGCACTTTAAGATTACAAGGACGAACCTACTCAATACGACGACATAAAGATCCACCGGTACCGATAATGGTATGAAATGAATATGAATGGCGCGATTCAACAAACGACCCAGCAACGTGCAGGACAGCGTACGGAGCCAACACTCATCCAATCGCAATTTCAGGCAATTTCTGTACATAGTGCGATATCGATATCAAAGCTGACAGTCAAGAGATACATAAATAGAAGGAATACACGGCGCAGTCGGTATATACGTACATCCAATATGGGGAACACAAAAATAATCAAGGCAGCATATAATGCAGGTCATCGCTTGCGCAAGTTATACGGTGTCGAGGACGTTGAACCTGTAGGCTCAACTCGGTCAGGACGAGTCACCCCAGACGAAACGCGTCCTGAGGCGACATCGCTGATTCTGCCTGGACTACGACGAGATGGTAGAATTCTTGCAGTAACTTGACGATCGTTTGAACGCCCAGGTTTGTTATCAGAACCTGTGGTAACATTTGCATTGGTAGACTTTAGGCTTTTGGTTCTTCGAGTGCTGGCAGCCCTGCGATTCGAAACATCTCCCCTAGTGGACCTCGCGCTTTTGGTTTTGCGAGTTCTAGCGATGGTGGGGGTAGTTGAGCTATCCTCTTCGATTACAGTCGAGGATCTACCGCGTTTCTTACCCTTCTTCGAGTCCTCGACTACTGGTGGCGGAAGCGCAGTTTCGACTTTCTTCTTTGTTTGAACGATGGCCTGGGAAAGACGACGCATAAACTCCTCATAAGGAACCCCTTTTTCAGCCTCGTCCAAGCCGTCAATGTTCAAAACCCCGGCTGGACGTTGTTCAGGAGGAATATTATCCTCGCTCGCGTTCTCAGCCCAGGAGGATCCCGAAATCCGGAGAACACCGAAGGCTCCGACTTCCAGACAGAGGTTCGGTAAGTTGCTGAGAAGCGGAAGTATGTCAGGCTGAAAGTCAATCAATCATTTTCATTTTCGGAGAGCTCGGAGTTGCAACGCGTTGGTACGAACCTGGTCATGAAAGACCTTGGTGGGGTGCAGGTCGTCAATTTCCTGCCCAAAATCTATATCCTCTTCATTTGTGGACTGTGCTGAAATCCGTACGAACACCCAGAACGATTGTTCATCGGCACGTTGTAGGCAAAATACTAGGATCACAGTGTTGCTCGAGGAAGACATCAGGGCACAGAATGGTTCGTCCCGCTCGTGTTTGAACCACGAGAGTATATCTTCGTTGCTACTAGCCATGAAAACCAGCTTGCCATAGATGTCTTCCCGCAGATGGACGTCCACTGCTTCAAATCGTTGTTCTATCTTTGTGAAAGTGACAAGTTTCACTTCCGGGAGGGCAGGTAATCCAATGATTCTGAACGCATCTGAGATTTTGCAGGGGTTCGGTATCACTGTGGGTGATCGAAAGCTTCTGTATGTATCTGGAATTTCGCATGAAGGGCCCGAGATCGAGGTGAGCCAAAAGGCCAGAAAATGTGCAAAATGAGTAGGATCAACGACAACTTCTGAGATCTTGCAGAAAATTCTGATAAACTTTGCAAAGCCGAAGTAAAAATTCTTCTTGAGCCAGATTGCGCCAGCAGTCACTGTTATAGGCTCATTGAGTGCAATTTGAGCACAGTCGGGATCAATGAAATATCCGTAATCTTCAGTGATCAGAACTCTATCCTCTGTTAAGCAGTCAATGCAACCCGTTGCAGTGCTCAAAAACGAAGTAGCTGCGCGGTGCATTTCCACCGTGACTGTGTTAAGTGACCCTAAACAAATAAATTTAGCGTTGCAGGTAGTAATGGTACCTCAATGTTTCCAACATACACAGACCAAGTCCCCTATGACCAAGTGGTAAATACCAATCGTTGTAACGACCCTCCTCTCCTTCCGAGTATTTTTCGTTATCATAAGGAAGGTATTCAGTGATGTTTTCAATATAGTTACCAAGCAACGTATGAGGGCTGTGGAAATTGTTGTAGAGTAAGACAGCAAGAAAGGACGCTGTGTAACGGTGACTAACCATAGAAAATGCAGTCAATAACTTTTGGATATAGCAGCAGTAGACCTGAACAAACCGTCCACGCAACCATTGCCACATACGGTCCAACAGTGCCTGCCCAGGTACTGAAATAGCGAACTTGGGTGGCAGAAACTTGGTGATATAACGACGGTGTTCGTCTGGATCATTAAAAGACCCGGTTTCTGAGCACCAGCGAAAATCATCCCACTCGCCGATGGTTGACTGAAAATGGTCTTCTGGGATGATGGTGCCCGAAACAACAAATTTAACAGGCAACTGACCCATCCGTCGTCGCAGGCTGCGTAAGATCTCTTTCAAAATAGGATAACGACCGCGCTGATCTTCGAACGCTTCCTCGTGCATTCTTGACGCTACATTTACTTCATCCACTGCGATATAGAAGAAATCGCCACCAGGCATTTCCCATATGCTCTGGATTTCTTCCATCAAGTGCAGCATGGCTTCGTCTAGTTCCTCGTCACTTAGACAAGCCCTTGTAATTTCAGATTTAATCATACTGAATGAATCGTATGAGGGTGTAATGTTCGTTGGAAAAATCTGTAACTCCAGCCAACGCTGCCGCTGTTCAGGGCAAAATCCTTGCTTGGAACAGACTTCTAGGAACATCTTGAAGACGATGAACCGAGCGAACAGAGCTTCGCTGACCGCACGATATACCAGCCGTCTATTTCCCTGTAGCAATGAGGGGTGATTAGAATCAGAGATAGGCGGTAGGCAAGAGGTCCAAGTACTATGGTCCCAGTTTACGTCATTCAAAACAGAAGGAAAATCGGCCGCTCCAAGGGAAGAAGCATCGATGGCGCATGTCAAATAGAATCCCCAATGGAAACACAGGCCCTCTAAGAGAAGCCTGGTCTTTCCTGTACCGGAAGTGTTCACAAGAAACCTACGAATCGTGGAGTCAGTGGCTCGATTTTTTCACGGAGAACAACTAGCCTCGTACGTGTGGTTGGAAGAAGAGAAAATCCGGTCCAACCTTCCCCTGAGTTTGGCATGGTGCTGAAAGCTACCTAACTCATAGAGAACAATCAAAGGCACTGCCACGTTCTGTGTTCCTACTGGAATATCTAGGCTTTCCATGTGAGCCGTGATTTCCGTATGTGCATCGTTACTCTTAGACATCCAGGAAGGTCGTTTCCATTCACCTCTAGCTATTGGCGCTATCCTTCCATCGGAGTATATTGTGCGAATCAGTCGGTTCATCTCTTGTAAGTGAGGATGAAAGCGCCATGCATTTTGTTTGAGATAAACTGTTAGTCACACGTAAATATCTTGTCGTACAGAAGTAATCAGAAGACGCACTGCAAAGGTTTTCAAGCTCTTCCGAATTCTGCGATCTATGTGCCTCCTTAAGCTTCTCGTGGAACGTAGGGTCTGCCGACAAAATCGTAGCGCAGATTTCCACCGACAGTTTCTCGCGTACTTCAGGAGCGAGATAGGCATGAAGGAAGCTGGACGCGACCGCGAGCTTCTCGATGTCCGGGAATTTAATGAAGACCTCCTGCTTCGCGAGAGAATCCATGGCGCAAACTTGATGGTTGAGTGCCGAGGGATCGAGGGTATGTTGAGCGCTTGAGCATTGTTGGTAAAACAAACCGGGCCGAGGTTACTTTGGTTTCGTACCACGACCACAATAACTTCACCACCCCTTATGCGGGCCTATTTCTCAACGCTGTTGCCGTATCGTTGTTCTCGCAAGCAATTTGATACCTTGATGGAATACGATGAAACATGTGCAATATACTACGCTCGTCGCTGAGTCTACATTATCTCCTTTTATCTCTCTCTCACCCGATCTTCCCTTCATGATCACTTTTTCGTTCAACCTCCCTCCATGCTCGAATTTTACCACTGGTTCCATTCTCGATTTCATTGGACGAGTGAAAGCCCCGGATCTCAGCCTCGTTTGACTTATAACATCTTTCACCTATTTCTTTCACCGATCAAGGTGCACAGTGGGCTTCGCCAGGAATTATCAGATAATATGCAGGTCGAGATTCATCCTTCCTGTGCGCACAACATCTCAGGCTGTATGTCGTTCTTCATTCGGTCGTTACCACCAAGTTTAAGCCATCGGACTTCCTCGTGACTCAAAGTCCGTCGTCTCATCCTGCTCTTATGATCATGATCAACTCAGTCGCTCGATTCTCTCAGGACTTAAACTACATGAATTTTCACAACTCACATCGCTGTGTTCAGGGTTTTCCCTACGGTGAAATATATCGGGAACCTTTCCATTTCCCTTAGCATTTCAATTTAAGGTTTCCTGTATGTGAAGTGCCTTTGTCGCGTATTTGCTGTATATTTGGTAGGGCAGATACATTTTAGGCCAGGATAGGCTCGTCAACTGCTACAACTTCTCGGCTATGTAGCGGGTATCCAGGATATCTGCCTTTTTTTTTGTTGAGCTGGCGAGCTAGCTCCTAGAGAATCAATTTTGGTACAGGTCCAATGGTGCAACGGAGGACGAACCCACTACATAAATATGACCATTGACAATAATATAAACAATCCTTCAGAAGCTTCAACGTCGACAGTGGTCTGAAATGAAATGCACGCTTAAACATGGAGGTGACAACGTACGGAGCCAACACCCATTCAACCGCAGTTTTCTACATTTTCTGTACATAGTGTGATATCGGTATCAAAGTTGGCATTCACGCGGGTAGATACTAACATTTGGTACATAGATAGATAGAAGGAATACATGGCGCTGTCGGTATAAAGGTACATCCAATATGATGAATACAAAAATGATCAAGACAG